TGGACCAAGTGATTCACCGTTTTCTTGTGAAGCTCATTACGTAGATTCTTGATCTTTCGAAAGATTCTCGCGATCGCGCCATCTAAATTTCTTCACCTTTCTTTTTTTTCGCTTCAACGTGGAATTGTTTAGAATATCTCTCTGGGAACTTAACCACCTGTCAGCATGTAACCCTAATCGAACTAATCTCTGTGCATCATTCTTTCCAACCTTCAGTAGGTACGTGACGAACGGGGTTCGCACCCCAGGGTCAATGGCTACGAACTTTTCATGAGCTTCCCTGTTCTGTTTTGGTCTTTCATGGACCCATGATAGGGTCCAATCGTTTGTTTTTCGACGATAGGTAACCTTGCAATTACAATTGATTTTTTTAAATGGCCATTTGTTATGTTTTCGTTGGGGTTCGAAATGTAAAGGTCGTAGGTCTCTCTTGTTTTGTGTGATAATGCAGGGTTTCTTTCTTGGCGTGCGTGCGCATCGATTGGTTGTGTAGGTACGACACATAGAAGTGATTCCAATTCTCGAAAAATTTTGCGATCGTATGCGCGAGATCCTTCTTTGACTTGAATTTTAATGTGGAATTATTATCTTTCTGATTATAGTTTTTGATCGTCTCATCCACTGTTTCGTCGATGATGTTATTGGGGATCTCTTCATAGACACCTTTAAGCTTGAGCATGACGTATACGAGATAACAAAGTATTGGGTGCTCGAACAGTTGAGGTAAAGTCGGGTGGGTGTTTTTATTATTATTTGCTCTGGTAAATTCAGTTGCCCTTGCGGATTTGGTTGCATCTGCACCTGTACCTGAATATGTGGTTTGAGGCGGGCAAACCACTGTGTTATAGATCAATCTCGTCAATCCCATCCATCGCTTCAGCAATTGTTTCTGAGCATGATTAGGGTACAATCTCACATTCAGTGTCCTGTTCACACTTTCATCTGTTTTTCTTTTTTCTTTTTTCTTTTTTCTTTTTTTTTTTTTTTTGGTTTTCTCACTGTCGAGACCTTTCTTCTATTCTTTCCTTTCTCTTCGATGTTGTGCGGCTCTTCTTCCTTGCATTCTGCAGATGAAGACGGTGTTGATGGCAAGGATATCTTCGGATAGCTCACGTTCGTCGGTTGTTGAATCGTCGAAGAGAACCACGAGTTTTGTGGTGGTGTTGTTAGCATTGAGGGGAGAGATTATGTGTTTACGATTTGGATTTTCAAATGAGCAAAATATTGCAATGGTTAAAAGA